TTTTTTTCCGTGATATTACAACACAAAAGCATAGCCTGAATATACGAATGAATAAGGAGAGAATTAAAACCTGGGTAAACAAGGCTAAAACATTAAAAAGATTAAAAGGCAGGACGTTTCGAGCTGTTACCAGCTCATTTTCAGCTGAAAAAAAACACAAAAAACAAATAAAAAAACACACATTAAACATTTTTTGTGTTTTTTCGCAGCCGAAAATGAGCTGGTAACAGCTCGAAACGTCCTGCCTTTTAGTCTTTTCAATATTTTAGCCTTGTTTACCCATGTTTAAATTCTCTCTTTATTCTTATCGATATATTCTCCTTCCAATTTTTCAGATATTTTTGTTGGCAATTTTACCTGAAGTTCCTGAAAAGTTCAAGGAAAATTATTCATAACCTTTCGCAAAAATAAACATTTTATCGAGGGAAATTTGGCAACTCTCGAATGTTCATACGCCGTTCTTTCTCAGCACGGCAGAGCTGGTGAGCAACGAGTTCATACACAGAGAGCATCCCTTAAACTCCAGAGTTACTGGGGTGAGCAGAGTTTCGAGCCCTAATGTTGATTGGTTCTCCTTTGCGAAATAAAATCGGGGCATTAGTAGGCGGATGCCTGAGACTGGATTCGGTTAATTTTTTGGACATATGACCGTTGTATCGCCGTTGGAATTTGGACCAATCAGAATCGAGTATCTAATTTTCAACCAAATCCTGAAGAAAACGAGCTAAACCCCGGATTAGGCCGAAAAAGCGGGCAAATTGGTTAATGCAGCACGACTAATACAAATATATACAATTATAGGCAACTGATATAGTTAGTTAGTTATTATAATTTTAAGACATTCAGCGTCTCAGGCTATTAACGTCTTTACAGATAATTTTGAAAATGGGGGTGTATACGAAAATTTAGATTTTTAAATTAAGAGAGGTGAAGAGTTTTAGAATTTTGGTAGTATATACTTTACTTTATCACCACCACCTCAACGCGGTTGTTGACGCTCAGGTGAGGCTGAGGGGCTTTGAGAGCAAGGCGCATAAGTGCAGTTTTCGAAAAAATTGAGATATTCAAGAACCCCACTAAAACTAGTTTGAAGGTATTTTCTGTGAAAAATCCACAACTAAAATCCAACTTTAAAGCATCGAAAAGTGAATTTAAACTTCCTTTCCGCCGTAAGGGTCCATGTAATTTTGAAACTTAAAACACGCATTTATCCAAATAGTAAAAACTGCACTTTTGACATTGTTCTTCAAGCCCTTTTCAGTTGTTGTTGTTGTCACACGGAACACAGTCATTTTGGAAATATTGGTTACTTTCCGAGGGAAAAAAACAAAATGGGCGAGTGAAAATAAACATTCTTAAATGGCTCATCGATAACTTGCTTTAGAAGATACTCAGTTATTCCATTTTTAATCCTAGAAAATATAAAAAAGTGGATTTTACTTAATTTTTTTTTCATTCTTTCAGAGCAGCTTTTAAATTTTCGCTCAAGGAGCGGCCAAGGCGAGATTTCTAAGATATTTCGTCATTTTTTTCAACCTGAGCTAACTAATTCATCTTATTACGACCTCGATTTTTCTCTCTCGGAATAATGCTCCTCCGTTTAAACAAAAATGTCAGAGTTAAAACCCGTGAGCTGCGAGCTCTTTCCACATCTCAACTCAGCGAGCATTTTTATTCACTAGAAACTTTCTTCTCGAGACTTAGTGAGAGAGCAAAATCCTTCTTTCTGCCACGGTTAGACGTTTGTTTTGACACAATCCCAGTGTCAAAACATTCACCACGTCTGGAAATTTAATCTCGGCTTAGTCAAAAACTTCCAAATTAGCAACTGTAATTACCACAACTGGATACGTTAATGCTGATGAAGTCTTTCGTAATAAGAAACCCGTGTGAATAGACTCTCAAGTAGCAGTAATCGCGATAATTTACGATTTGATCCGAGAATGTACCGAGATTTTATCGATGTCCCTTTACTACAATATTATCAGATAAAAAGTTGCGATTTTGAAGAAATAAAATTGCGAGAAGACGTAGGATGACACAATGAGATAATTCGAGCGATTTTGTCGTCAAATAAATCGTAGAAAATCGCAATTTAATTTTAAAAAATCGCAATTTTTCCTTGAAAAATGACACGTGAGGCTTTGTGTATAAAAAAGGTTAAACTTATAGGTCACGTTTATTTTTACTGTGTAATAGTGGTGATAATAAGCCAATTAGGATCAGAACCTCTTTTGCTCATCAGCAAAAGAGGATTTTTATCCATTCATTCATTTGAAGAGGAGGGGAAGTTTCAATACGGTCACTCACAGTGGCTGGCTAATTTTATAGGAGGGCCTGATATCCCTCGTGAGAGCTCTAATTCCGGGATACAATGGACCTGTATACAGGGTGTGAATTGAGGCATTAAGAAAAAAGTTCACTCTGCAAAGTTTGATGCAAAAACGATAAGCATTTTAAATAATTTTCTGTTAATGAGAATTCAGCGTTCCTCCTACATTTTAATCGGTCGATTACAACTTCCCGCTCGTGATAAGAATAACATTGAACACAGGAGATTCGGTCATCAAAGAAAATGTACCGTTCAATCACTAAGAGTCACACAGGCTCAAGTGTCAATAAAATATTCTTCCTACTTTGAGTACGCTACGTTTAAACTTTCCAAAAGTAGTTCAGAGGGCTGAGAGAATTCATCAATAGGAACGAAAACTGAATTTGGTTCAATAACGAATTAAATTTAAATAGATTACAGTTGTTCTTTGGCAGGAGAGGATTTTTACTTTTTGTAAGCACGGGGGCGCCCATATTGCGCTTATGTTGAAAGTAGAATTTGTTAACGTTTCACGTAAAATTTGCATGAGAACACATATCGACGGTGTAAGTCCACGTATCTCGGTTTGCGACGTCGTAGACTTCCTGTCATACTTTATTTTTTGAACGGAAATTACTCAACGGCAATTTTTTAAAACTGCCGTGATTTTTCTTATCTGTGCGAAGCAAATTCTGCAAAAACTTCAAGGAATGATGTCAATTTGTTCTACTTTAAAGAAATAATGAAGAGGCGGAGATTTTCAAACACCGCAAACGAGGTATGTGGTTTTGGACTTACACCATCGATATATTTTGATGCTACATCTCTAACCCTATCGATAATGGTTCGGTGGTTCATAAAATAGGTTAATTTGAATTGATCCGATGTCTGATAAAGAAATCTGGCGATAGGTTAATATACTTAATTGCTTTGAAGGAGATGTCGAACAAAATGAAGGGGAAAAAATGTTGGTTCCATTGAAATTCGGGTTCATCTTATCTGATATTGACCTAAATTAACTAAATTGCCGACGTTGAATTGTCTAATACCACGTAAAATCGTATTTAATGATGATTTTTTTAAAACTGCTCTCAAATAAATTGATCTGCCTTCATTTGATACAGTGGGCAAAAAGAGTTCTTGAGGTGTGCAAATAATCGAAGGTATCCAAATACACTTAAAGCAATCCACTTAAAGCGCAAAATCAGATCACCATTAAAGTCAAAAACTAAAATTTCCTGACTTTTCTCTAAATTTTCTTCCCTTTTTTTAACATCATCGCTGACTATTTTTGTCAAAATTACACTTAGTTCCCGGGTTTCCAGGATTTGCACTATTCAAAACGTGAGTGCTCACGTTTCCTCGCCCTATTGAATGAGGACGAATAGGTCAAATTAAAAAAAATTAGAAATCATTGACGTCATATATTGGCGAATCTGTTCCATTAACCGAAATCACCAGCCATAGTTCTGATGCCACACGGATGGGAAAGATAATTATTAGTTACTAGATTACTACGGGCTGATTATTAAAACTATGTCAGCACGACAAGACAAAACTTAGTCCTGACTTAACCATGCAATATATCGTATTTTGATGTCCTTTACACGTCAATAATCGGCCCGCTGATTCCATATAATCTTCAGTTCTTCTGGTAAAAATCAGTAGATTTCTAACATTGCTTCTTACGTAGCTGGGAAACAATGTTAGATGCACGATGCAACTGATAAACAGCACTGGTTTCTAGATTCCCTGGGGTCGTAAACAATCAAGGATCTAGTAACGACACGTACTAACATTCTTCCTAATCCGTGAAGTATTTTCATACATAACATTCGCTTTTACAGCGCAGCTTCGCGCTCTACAACACCCATTTGCCATTGCCCCCTATCCTTCCATAGATTAGCAGGCAATTGACACCTGCCCCTGATCTCCTCCTCCACTTCTTTGCGCCAACCCTTCACAGGACGTCCACGCTGTCTTCTCCCAGGAGGAACCCAACCGAAAACATGCTTGGGCAACTGATCGTCTGCCATCTTCCGCACATGTCCATACCAGACCAACTGTTTGGACCTCATACCGTGCACGATGTCATTCTCCATACCCATTATCTCGCGCACCTTTTCATTTCGGACACGCCATCTTCTCGAGATAGTATTAGATACAAGTATTTTTTTGCGGTTTTCCCCTTAAATGGAGAATTTGCATGCAAATGTTTTTTTGCTTCATCTAAAAGTGCCTCAAAAGCTAATTTCGCAGTATTGTCTATGAGTTTTTATCCATGGAAAATCGTACAAAAATAAATTTAAAAGTGAAAAATACACCGTCTAGTGACGTTATCAGGCGGTATTTTCCATTTGAACGCGTGTATTTAAGCAGATTGCATAATATTGTCATATCTCCTCCAATAATAATTGTTCAATTCATGAACCAAAAGGAAACCTATAGTGTTCAGTGCTTCCACTTAAACTTAAACTTTATACAATTTCGGACACCTGAAAATTCTCCATTCCTCAGTCATTGACATCTCTATAAAACTATTCATGCCCCGAAAATCCGTGCCATTTATGGAGAGGATCTCAGGGGATATAGGTGATACATTTTCACCGGGATTCCACTCGGGCACAGGTAGACAGCAAACAAAACAACCGCGTGATACCGATCATGAGATTAGAAAGTTTGTGCTCACCTGGATCGCATTCGCAAATAACGGGCTCTGTAAACTTGGAGCGTAATCCTTCAAAATCGATCAAACGTCCCTGTCCAAACACTGGTCCAAACACTAGCACTGGTGCACATGAAACATACTACGAACTGCATTCGTTCCTCGAAATGAGAACACGCGAAACTAGGTGAGCATTAGCGACCGGAACGGAACCTGCCCTCAACGGCCTAGCTAATCCAATAACAGCTCAAGAGCACAGATTCTCGATAGTTTGTTTTATTGCTTATGTGAAACTTGAGGTTTATAATTTCCGATGCTTACGTCTATCGCAAATTGTATCTCGTTCTAGGAATGTTACCTGAGAAATGTCAGAAAAATTTACGTCAACTGTTCACCCGTATCAAAGCAAAGAGGATTAAAAACAGAATATCAGGGCCTGTCCGCGATTCACCGAGTTTGCGACGCTTTCACGAGATGCACTGGAAAAATACCAAAAAAATTTCAACTATAAAATTGTGTTTTGTTTAGAATTGTACTACGTACACTACTAGTTACAAACCTCTTTAAGAAAAACAAAATGCAGCAATGTATACAATTTTCGCGTTATTCTAAAGAATTTTAGGTCTAATAGCATTGGAAAAATTGATGTATTTATTTTTGGATAGTGGTTCATTTAAGGTACCATAAAACCCGGGCGTTTTTATGCCCAAACTCTTATTTGAAATTTTAAAATAAAAAAATCATATTTTTAAGGAATACATTATAATGTAAATGCATTACGAGGAGAAAATATAAAAGAATGAGTTTTGTACTAGTGTGGTTACTTAAAGCATCAAATTATAGATTGAAATTTCGTGATGTCCAAATTATTTTTACCCGCTCATTAGGCAAACCACCATCCTAGTATCAATTCATGTTCCATTTCGTTTAGAATGCAATCGTCTAAGCACTGATTCTCAGCGTACAGCTTGCAAACAAATCATGTAGGATTTTGTACATCAAATTTTCCGTCTGCTACATGGGATTTGGTGGTAAGGCGGGATTTGAAGTTTAAAAATTATATTTCATACAAACAAGGTATGATCTAAACAATCTCCGAACAGAAAATCTAATCTGAATTTGTAGGCAATTGCTAAAGCACTAATTCTGAGCGTAGCTTACAATCAAATCACGCCAGATTTCCTACATGAGATTTGGTGGCAAGGCGGGATTTGAAATTCAAAAACTATATTTTCATACGAATGAGGTATGTTTCTAAATGTTCTTTCAACATAAAATCCGAGCTGAATTTCGCTTTTTGAGCTGCTTTATGAACACAAAAATTAAGCTGAATTTGCATTTAAGTGCCAAAGCACCGATTCTCAGCATAACTCACAATCAAATCATGTCAGATTTTCTACATGAGATTTGATTGTAACTATGGCGGGATTTGAAATCCAGAAATTATATTTTCATACGAACGAGATATGTTTCTAAACGTTCTGTCAACAAAAAATCCAAGCTGAATTTCGCCTTTTGCGCTGCACCGACGGTTCTGTAGAAAATCTCCCCGGAAAATTTCACTGGCAGGCGATTGGCCGAAACTCACGCGTGTGATTCTCACGTGCAACTTAGACTTGTGACGGGCTCGAGCTCGGGTCAATCCGGGGCAGCGGGCGGAACGCGAGACCGCGACGGGATCCAAGGGGTAACTGAGCGCCACGGCCGATACTAACCTCTATCTGGGTTCGGGTTAGGGGGAGGGCCAACCCACCCTCCCGCCCCCGCTCTGCATCCCTCGCTCGAGCCCTGAGCCACCCTGTCGCGCGGCAACACAGGGAAACACTGCAGCGCCCGCGCCCCATCCACCGGTGCAAAGTGCAATGTGCATCGCAGTGCAAAGGCGGATAAAATATTCTGCATACCTCGAATTGTGCCGTGCGGTAAGCCAATTCGGACAATTTTCGAACTTAACAACATCGGTGGGGCTGAGAGCAGGAGGGCGTATAGCCATTGTGTCCTTCTCGGTCGACAAAAAGGTCGGCATCTATTTTGATGGGCCTTTTGCAAACTATTCAGCTATAGCAAAAAGAACACTGAAAAAAAAGATTGGTAGAATTTACCATTCCTTCACGCTATATTTCACACGACGTGAATTCGAAGTCGATTCTGCCAGAGGAATGGTCAACCTAACCCAACTCGAGGTTATCTGTACCAGTATATAGTAACGTTTACCTCTCTTCCGGCAGAATTGACTATGAATTGACGCTGTGTGAAATACAGAGTGGAGGAATGGTAAATTCCACAATTTTTTTTCTTTTTCAGTGAAGATTTGGATAGCATTTTGCAATTTGAAACTAGAATTTCTGGCTCGTTTCAGAAACAACGTATGAAACATTAGTTTCCCGATGTAACTGAGTGATTTTCCGGATGAGTGCTATTATAGTTTCTAATTGCAAAATGTAATGCATTTCATCTCCATAGAAAAAGACACAAAACTCACGATGAGCGCATCGGGAAAGTTTCCAATACACTCCCAACTTCACAACCTGCGTAAAACACATTCGAGCAAATTACGCGCTCATTATCAACTGGAACAAAAGTCATAACCAAAAAACTAAACAAGGAAATAAGTTAAAAATTGTTGCACCAGCTCGTAAGATCAATCACTCCATGTATCTCTTGCTTCGAATATTATGCGACACGACGATTCCGATTTAGAAAGTTTGTAGTTTTGAAAACGCCTTCAATTGTGACGTGATACCTCGCGCATTCCGGAGAGTACGAATAGTTGTATCATTGCGCCTTAGTAATGTGACGGAATATTTATTTTGAAGTAGCTGCTGGCCTTTTCGGTTTTCCTTTGCCGCTAGTTTGAACGGATGGTTGAAAAGTGCTAAAGTGAAGCTAGAATTGTAGGTGGTAAATGTATAATTTTTATAAAGGAATACAAAATAAACAAGAACTGAAGAAAAACAAGAGAAAAAAACTAAATAATAGGAACTCAAATCAACAATAAACTTAAAGAGACCGAAAAAGTACAGAATTTTTCTGTTTATGACGTACTCAATATTTTTGGAAAGGTACTGAAAAAGTACGAAATCATTCAGTTTTTTGCCACTCATTATGAAATGAAATCAAATACTGAGCTATCAACCGACTTTCACTACAATAATAAGCGAACTCAGGCCATGTTTCACTATGCGGTCAAAACTGCAAAGAGCCTGTTGCAAACTTTTGCTAGAACAAAAATAAGAGTTGTTCCTTACAGATAACCTCTCAAAAATCACGATGAGCGCATCGGCAAACTCTGTAATGCACTTCTAACTTCACAATCTGCGTAAAAAAATTGCGTTTTTTAAGCTTCCCGCTTCAAAACGGATACTACGGCACAGGGGAACATTTCGTTAGAGGAGTTGTTCTATTCAATCCCTGCTCAACGTGGCCGACGCTTCCGCGCGCAAGTTGAGGAGAGCACAAGGTCAATCAAGACGGATATCTATCAAAGCGAGAAAAATGCGAATGTAAATACAACGCGATTGTTATCAAGTGGCTAGAATTATCGTCCCGTCACATGTGTTTTGGAGGATTGGCGTCGGCTATGTTGAATATTGCGTGGTATCCTTGTGAGCAGGGGTTGGATGGAATGACTCCTCCAACAAAATTTTCACCCGTGCCGTAGTATCGTTTTTGAAGCGGGAAGCTCGTAAAAAAGGAAATTTCTTACGCAGCTTGTGAAATAAGGAGTGCATTTCAGGCTGTGCCGACCGTGATTTTTCAGACACTTTCTATGAGCAACAACTCTTATTTTTGCTCCAGCAAAAGTTTGCAACGGGCCCATTGTGGCAAAGGAGAACCGACAAGGCCAGCGTAAAGGCTACTTCAATATTAATCTTCCGTCGCATGGCTAAGGCGCAATGATACAACTATTCGTACTCTCCGGAATGCGCAAGGTATCACGCCACAATTGAAGGCGTTTTCAAAACTACGAACTATTCATATCGGGATTCTCGTGTTGCATAATATTCAAACCAAGAGGTAAATGGAATGACTGATCTCACGAGCTGATACAGCAGTTATTTGCACATATCCTTGTTTATTCTTTGTATAAAGCTTCTGTGCCAGTTGATAATGAGCGAGTAATTTGCTCGGATGTGTTTTCATTCTATTAAAGCTTCTTATATACATTTCTTGCTGTACTTTCTTGTATATTGTTGTGGATTTGAGTTCCTATTATTTAGCTGTATTTCTTACCGCTTGTTAATTTTTAATTCTTTCATAAAAATTACCATTTACCAAGTACAATCCTGGCTTCACTTCAGCATACTTCAACTATGCGATCAAAATTGCAATAGCGGCAAAAAGGGAAACCGACAAGGCCAGCGCAGAGGCTACTTCAATATTAATATTCTGTCACATTGCGAAGGCGCAATGATACAACTATTCGCACTCTCCGGAATGCGTGAGGTATCACGCCACAATTGAAGGCGTTTTCGGAACTGCCAACTATCCATATCGGGATTCTTACGGCACATGAATAGGGTGTCAACTGAAACTTGCTGGCTAATATTAAGTACCTTTACAGCAATTTTTCAATACCTTTCCGAAAAAGCACGATGTAACGAGAAAATCCTGCACTATAAGAATCATCGCTCAACGGGATGGATATTTCCAGGCTGTCTTAAATAAACACCCGTGGCATGAAGCAAAAAATACCGAACCTTTATGCGGAATTCCCGTACTTTTTCATTACTTCTGGACCGCCTTATAAATTCAGTACTACTTCCGGACCAGTAGGCACCCTGTATATGCAATGGAATAAAATGGAGTATTTACAGTGTTGTCAACTTGCTGGAATCCAGTGACGTAGCGTGACGATTGTGTTGCTATTCAAGTCAATGGAAAAGGATCGACAGACAGGGTGTTCGCAACAAACACCTTACAGATCGATTCTTTCCCATAACTTCAAATGGGAAAATGTCGATAATCGATCATTCACGCTTCGCCATTGCTGGAATTCCCACTGAGTTAAATTCGTCCAACTTTACTACGTAAGACGGAAGCGATGGCAAGGTACTTATCATTTAAGTCTGCAAACGGGATTCGAGAGGAAAAAGAGCTTCCCGAAAATATACGCAAGAAGTTCTTCAATGGTTCTTGAAACTTTAGCGAAAGGAAAGAGGTAATTAATTCCTTAGGAAAGAAAGACCTTAACATACCGATGTCAAATCGTAGATGGCTCACCCGGGACTCAATTCCCTGTATTCATTCTCATTTTCCTCTGTCACATGCTGCACCTCAGAACAGCACGTGTGATACAATTCCTCCGACACTTAAGTAACATACGTTGCCTACCACCCAAAATGAAGGATCATTTAGTTCCACCAACGCGGATACCCACTTGTTTTCTACGCTTCAAGTCGAAAAATGCGGTCTCTATGGAGAAATTTTTAAACTCACGATGTTTCATTTTCTTATGAAATCTGTGAATATATTCGAATGATTGAAGAAAATTCATAGAATATGCTAAAGGGATTTTTTTTTTCATCCAAACCGCAAAAGATCGTGCTGAGCCGCAATACTTTCCTATCCCGGTCCAGCGTCCAGCCCGCTCCATGCGTTCCAGTAGAACGCTTGGATTAGGTACGCTTCGGAATTGTTGCGATTTTTGCAAGCTGGCATCACTGTTTTCCTCCATTTAAATGTATGTTAAACAATCGATTCTAGGTAAAAAGGCAGCCTCTCTGACCTAGAATCGATATTTCCAATTGATTTAAATGAGTATTAACCGTGTTGCCAACTTGCAGGAATCGTTGCTGTCTCAGAGGTGTCACGTGCGATCCCGACCTAAACCAGATCCGCCTGGAAATCATAGGTAACCGATATAACCCAATCCATTTGATTCAAACGTACTTGCGATACATCGATTGATCTGCCATTTAAACCTTTGAAAAAGGATCGATAAATAGGGTGTTTGTAACGAACACCTTAATAATATATTCTTTACCATAGCTGCGAATCGGGAAATATCGATAATCGATCATTCACGCCTCCCCACTGAAAGGATTTCGCACATTTCTTGGACGAAGGAAAAAGAATAAAAATCCTAAACAAAATCAAGGGTTGTTTCTTTTAGAAAAAAAATAGGGGCGGAGATTTGCAACAATCAGAGGTACACACATGTTTTCAAATTTAAAAATAGTTGACGGAAAACCATCTCCAAAGATGAGATCGCTCTCCATCATCGTATTCAGCAATGCGCGATCAATATTTTCACTAATTAGCCAGACTGCCTGAATGGCTGGCAGTTGTAAGTCAAGGTTAATGTCGGAGTTTGTATAAGGAAAACAAAAAGAGGGTGGAGCCCCTGAAAACGCTCTTATTTGATAATGAATGGCAACCCTGGGGCGAGTTTAATTGAAATGCAAAATCCACTTTCGGGGGATTTCTGGCTCGTTTGCCTTTCGGAGAGGATGCGACACATCGCGCCTCAGAAGCCGTTGAAAGCCTGAGAAAACTTTTCGCCAAGGATACATTTTCCTTATACGCTAAATAAACTTCACTGCGCAAGATTTAAGGGAAAAGAAAATTATCAGTGTAATGGCAAATAAGACGTATCGTGCTCTTGCCTCGCCCTTGGAAATTCTGAGAATGGGGGAATTCGCAATTATTTTTTATTGCTTTATCTGAGAGTGGGAACTGATTTCACATAATTTTTGTTA